ATGAGATATTTTCGCGCAGTAAAAAGTATCCTATATGTTGACTCGGATAACCATCTATCATCATTCCAAATTTCATCAAAATCTGTTAAGTGGTTTTCTCGTGATTCGGTCACAGACAGACAGACCGAAATTCTAAAAACCATAGATTTGGCCTCTGCATCGATAATAAAGACTATTCCGATATATATTTTTTCAAAAAATATTTAATATACAGATTCGACTCAGAATTTTATTATTTAAAATAGATGGCTCGCCTTGGGAATAATCTCATCGCCTCCAGACTACTTCAACTTTTATAGAATAACTGTAATTTATAATTTAACTACAATAAAAAAAAAAAAACAAATATTTTTTTTAATCCCGTTGAGTTTCCTTCGCTAGTTCTTCTCAGGTCTGAGGCTTCTTTCCAACTTGTAATAGACTCAAACGTTCAGTAAAAATTTTTTAAAATTTAATGCTGAATAAAATATTTAGAATTCGAATAGCAGGCGTGTATTATTAGAAATCACGTACCACGTCAATTTAACAGTCACATTTATTGCCGAGGCACTTTAAAAATAAAAAATAAACAGAAAAAAGTAAAGTTCGAATGGAATAAAACGTAAGGGATTTCCTGTTCCGTACTTCTAAGAAAATTCCTTGTAGCAAAAATTGTATCGGGGATGCTTATAGGGAGGAAATTTTGTACGTGTACGCACTCAGAATTAGATTGTAACTGCTTCTTGCGTGTAATTGTGTCTTGCTTCGACTTTTTATTATATCACATTTTTACGTTACCGTATGGGGAAGAAAAGGAGAATGAGTCTGCTGTTGAAAGTGAATTCGCTACACGTTTGACTAAAATCTAAATTTGGTTATAGTAAAACGACATGAAGACACGTTTGACTCAGTTTATAGCGACCCTACTTGCTGTGCCAGCGATCGCGGGTTCCAGTACTGCTGGGGGCATTCATTTGTGTGATGAGCACAAATGTTTCTTGTCTAATCATGGGTGGTGTATATCTATACTATAATAAAACAGTAGAGGTCGAATGTCTGTACATAGCAAAAAAATGCTAAAAACCGAGTCAGGGGGTTGTAAGAAGACAAATAGAACAAATCCAGATTTATTTTATTTTTTTTGTTTCGCCGTCTGTTTGTCTGTTTGTACGAGTTAATCTCCGAATCTATTGAACCGGTTTAAATGAAATTTTGCGTGGTGGTACATTATATCCCCGGGCAACATCTTAGATACTTTTTATCCCGAAAAATTAAATAGTTCCCGTGGGATAGTTAAAAAACTATAATAACATATACAGCTTAGTACACAAAAACTACTAATTGGATTTTAATAAAACTTTACAATAATATAGTTCATACATGACAATAATAAATCGGCTATGGTGGGATTGTTAAAAAACTATAGTATCTTATACAGCTTAGTACACAACAACTTTTGCACCTAATTTAGTAAAATTTAACATTCTGAACCTTATATTGCCGTTCAAACAACAGGTTACTTTTCATCCCAAAAAAATGAACGGTTCCTCTGGGAACTAATAGATCTCTATTAGTATTTTTCTAGAGGCGAGCCAGAGTGAAGCGAGGGTGAGCCGCTATTTTATAATATGTATGTATTTAAAGTTATATATGTGTACTGTACAACTATCTGGTATCCATAACACAAGCCTCGTAGCTTACCATGAAATAGATAGTGCTGCGTGTTAATATCCCGACATATTTATTAATAAATGTTGTTGTACATACGAGTAATATAGTGCTAGTAACGTCGTTAAGCTAATTTCCGCTGTGAATTATGTATCTCTGTTTTTCTGAAATCTGCGTTCTAAGCTAGTAGTACTTTATTTACAAGCTTTTATTCAGCCCTTTTTTAGTCCCACTGCTAGACACGGGCCTCCCTTTAGTACAAGGGGAATCAGGCCATAGTCCACCACGCTGGCCAAGTGCGGGTTGGCGGACTTCACATGGTTTTCTCAAACATGCAGATTTCCTCACGACATTTTCCTTCACCGTAAGACAAGTGGTAATCATGTTGGAAATGATTCGCACATGAAAATATCAGAGGTGCGAAACCCGGGATTTGAACCCGCTTCACTCAGTTTCCCAAGCGAGCGCGTTACCACTGGGCTATCACTTCCCTTACAAGCTCTTATTGTATTTAAATGTTATATTTACTGGCAGAACTGCTTGTAAAAGCTTATACAAATGGAGTGTTTTTGGAAATGCAAAAGTGTTTATTTCTATGTTTTTCTGTTTTTCTATGTTATACTCGTATGTCCCGTGCCCACGACAAATCTGCATATTTGATTGTTTAAAAAAATAGCCTATGTAAACATATATAAACATATATAGGATATTTTTTGTTGCGGGAAAATATCTCATTATTCTCTTTGCAGTTGAATTTCTACTTTAGACCATAGCAGAAGTACATAAAACTTCATAAAATACATAATTCGTCTTATCACCTCTATTGGTAACAAAAGGGCTTGTTATTCACCTGTAGATTCGGCATTGCGATTCAACAGGGGGAATGCAGCCGCCATTCTTCCGAGAATTGCACTTACATTGTGCATATTTTTTTGTATTTATTTTACTGTAGATTCAAAAACATATTTACATATTAACATATGCTAAAAAATTATAATTATTTTTTTATTTTTTTTGAATTATTAACTACCTATATTAAACTGCATACATATATATACCTATATATTGAGTTAGCCTGTATAATATGCAGTGCATAGTGTAATTTTTATAAATTTTCAAAATTTAATATACTAAAAAAACCGACTTCCAGGCACTAAAATATAAAAAATAACTAAATGTTAATATATGTTGGCTTTCTAATAAATAAAAAAGTGGGTATTAAACGCAATATACACTATATAAATATACAAATATTTCTAGTAAATAAGCTGAAATCGAACTGCTGACCTCTGACTTAGTGAGTAATACCAGCAATGTACAATTTTCCCCGAAGACAATAGTGCAAAGAAATATTTGTATATATATTATGTACTCGTATTTCCAATAAAGATCCCAACAGCTGTACGCGCTACAAATGCTACGTTTCTAATTTTCCATGTAATTACCTCTAAAAGACTTATTCGGGTTGGCAAATTTTATCAGTATCTCTTATTATTTTGGGTTAATTTTGCATAAACGCTTCGCAATAACAGGTCATTATTATAAGTAATGATAAATTAAATTATGCTTTTAAGCGAAACCGTGGGTTTTAAATGAAATATAGTAAATATTTTTGATATGGATTTAGTTATGGTTGTACAAAATAAAAAAAAATATATTGTGTTAGTTGGTCATAGTTACATCAAGTAGTAAATTCAATTCGCACACAGGTTTTTTTGAATATTATAATAAAATAGAATGACATATTATTGGTGGAATATTTAGTGCGAATATCGGTGCCCCGATAGGACGAATCTCGAATGTGTCTCTGGATGCTTAATTGAAGCCTATGTGCTATTATAGTTTATAATCTAACTTTATACTAAATACAAATCGTTAAGTTAAAGAATAACAGGTTCTAAACACACAAACACACACACACACACCAACACAGACACATACATACACACACATATACATACATATAAACACGCACACACATACTGATACACACATAAAAACTTTCGCAATTATAATAGTAGTACGTACCATAGATATTCTCCTATCTTTTTTATTTCATTAATATAATATTATAACTTACTGAAGCAAAGGGAGCTAACTTTTCTCTCTTTTGGCCAAATACAGCTCATTTGTGGAAGACGCGACGAAAAATTTCAATAATAGGGCGTTTGGAACTCTTAAAACAAGGTAATCTTTGCTCTTTGCTGGTCTTTTACAACTGTCCTGACACTTATTATAAAGTTCGACAAAACATCTCTGTCATCTATACATATAATAAAATTCTAATTGAGTCGAATCTGTGTATTAAATATTTTTTGGAAAATCTTATTGAAATAATTATTATTATCGATACAGAAACCGAATCTGGGAACGCATTACGAGAAAACCACTGGACTGATTTTGATGAAATTGGGTATGACGCTAGCAGGTTATTCGGGTCAACATATAGGATACTTTTACTGCGGGAAAATATCTCATCTCTGAGAAATCTATACTAATACTAAACATTAAATATACGAAACGGTACCTAATCTAAGAATATAAATATTAATTATCGAAGTATTACGGTTTTTTTGTTTGCATGTAATTTAAAATCGATATATTTTTTATAAATTTACTGATTAAAAAGCAGCCTGCGTAAATAAGGATCTTTTTACTGAACAGGTTCGAAACAGAAGATTTTGAAGTGAAACTTCTTTAGAATCGTTGTGATTTGAAACTCGATGCAACGGAAATGCGACAGTAAAAAGAGACAAACATATAAATATATAGGATTAAGCCGGCGATAGAATGAGATAAAATACATTGCGATGATGCCATGGTAACCGTTGTCATGATAACCGTTGTTATTTGATAGAATACATTACACAGGAAGTGAAAAATAATAAAATTCATTACTGATTATTATGTAATGTTTATATTTATGTCAAATAAAATGTAAAATAACTTTAAAACTTGGTAAAAATAATATAAAAAAATCCTTATGATTATCCTCTATATTCATATCATTTTCTGAAGTTTCACTTCTACGATGTGTGAATTGCACATTTTTTTTTTAAGTTGGATTTCTTGTGTGTGTGTGTTAAGTGAATCGAAGAATCGAATCAGTTGTGACCCAGTGGTAACGCGCTTGCTTAGGACACCGTGTGCAGTGGGTTCAAAACCCGAGTCTCACATGTCTGGTTTTTTCATGTGCGAATGATTTCCAACATGTCTACCTACTGTCTTACGGTGAAGTAAGACATCGTGAGGAAACCTGCATGTCTAAGAGAACTTAACAAGTTCATCAAATTTGATGATAATATATAACATGGTAATCATTCGTCATATTTGATAACAATATATTGTTTCAGGTGTCATGGATAAGAAGAAAAGACTACCATCTGTTAACTGTTGGGTTAACTACATACAGTTCTGACCAAAGGTTTCAAGCGATACATCTGCAGCATTCCGAAGTAAGTAGTTTTGTCTAATAATCTTCTATGATGTATATATGTAAGTAATAATAAAATGCTGTTTGTTGATAAGCGCACTTGAGAACGGCTGGAGCATTATGTTTATATTTTTTTACTGTCCATATAAGGATTATAACGGGAAAAGTTGAAAAAGTTGACTGGAATATTGAGAAATTTAAAAAGAAATATGGATAGGAACAACTATCTAGTCTGTTGGTAGTATTAATTCTTTTATTTGAAATTTACTTTTTTTAAATTAAATAGTTTTTTTGTGGCAAGAATATAAAACGGCTTAAAGTTTTTACCAATCGCTAAAGTTGTTTCGGTTTAATGCTCTTCTTCATAGTCACTGTAAAGCAATTTTATTAAAATCTCTTCAACAAGGTAAAATATACTTTAATGACTTTGTAATGATTTTATAAATATTCCTTATCATCCCTACGGTAAAATTTATCCCAAGTTTCAAATTCCAGCAATAGACTTTACTTGCTTCATTGAATTATTATACCATTTGAAAATATTGAAGATGAGCGACCAGCTCTAACTTCTTATAGGTTTAAATGGACATAAATATACTTGAACTCAGATACACAATAAATAAATCGGTATATCTAAATCATTTGCTAGATAAGTTAGTTATACTCAGACGAAAAACTCGAACTATACAATACTAACTCTCGCTCTATATGGTTTAACTAGCGACTCACCCTCGCTTCGCTCAGTTTCATCCCTAGGGTACGTTTTAACGGTTAGTATGGTATAGGTAGAATATATGTTATGTTACTGCTCCACTCCCTTGGGTAGTGGCATGATGATATATAGCATATAGCCTTCCTCAATAATCAAGCTGTCTTATGCAAAAAGGATTTTTTTAAATCGGAGTGTTAGTTCCAGAGGTGAGCACCTTCAAACGAACAAATAAAGTCTACCTCTTTATTATATTAATATGGATATAGGCTAATAATAAGTAATGACTGAAAATTAATAATAGTTTCCTCACAACTGGACGAATGGTTGGTTTAAATACATACTAGCGACACACCCTATGTTTTTACCTAAGACAAACTTTCATCCTCATTTTTACCCCCTTTTAAGATGATTTCCGGGATAAAAACTATCCTATGTCCTTTCCAGGGTCTCAAATTATGTTCTTATCAAATTTCATCTAAATCGGATCAGTAGTTTCGGAGCTTATACGATACAAACAAACTAGCAAATCTTTCCTCTTTATAATATTAGTATAGATAAATCAATATATCAACCGTGAGTCTGTTGATTATAAATTAGAATTAGTTTAAGTTCGCATTTTCCTTGAACAGCTTAATTTCAAATTAATGGACTCTAACTTTACGCCTTAAAGCTTTAATGGAAAAGTATAATGTAACGGTTTTCAGTGTTTCATAATAAATTCAAATCTTAATCCTCAAAGTTGCAATTACTTTAGGTTCAAAAGTTTTAGCACAAACAGTACTAAAAAGGTTGGATTAAAAAAGATATCTTCTGTACAGAGAAATCGTATACTATTTTGAGTTTTCCGTTGGATCTCTGAAAAATATAGCAATTAGTAGGTTCGATTCTACAATATTCATTCGACCTGTTCTATACTCTTTAATTTCAACAACGTTTTAAAGTTTTGGAGATTTTGTGTGTATGTTTAGCGATAGTAAATTTCGGGACCCATATAAAATTTATAAAAATCTTAGAGCGAAATAATATATTTTTTTCAAATAATACTTTATTTTTTATGCGAATATTTGACATCTATACATATAATAAAACAGTAACTTAGCAAAATTGATGTGCGCGTTTCATGAAAAAAATACTGAACCGATTTTAAATTTTTTTTGTGGAGTATCAACTTTTCGATACCTTTTATTACAGGAAAATCTTTCATTAGCACCGGAAAACATAATACTGATTCTATCGAGTCGTTCTTAGAAATTTACCTGGCTATACCTTAAGAGATACATCAAAACAATGCACTAGAAAATTATAGGTCTAATAAGGGCTATAGAAAAATCTGCAATAGCATAAGTTTTTTTTCCTAAGGTACGCTTGCAATAGCTATTCATATTTATTTAAAATTACGGACACGCCCGAGCGAAGCAAGGTTAAGGTTAAAATGAAACTTCTTTTTGGATTTTTCACTTAGTAGTTATATTATTTAGAAAAGTTTTTTTAATTGTATTAGTTATAATAATAGCAAATAAAATTAAATAATATTTAATGTGCAATTTAAAATATATTGAAATATAAAATAAATATATATTAGCAGTTAATTATTGCAAGGTACATGCCATTTTTTTATTTTTAAAATCATGTATAATTTTGTGGGTAGACACTGTGTGTAACGACTGTACGAGTATAATGACGTTCGAAACGTCTAAAACCGTCCAGTAACCATGATTGCCGTAAAGCATTCGAAACACCGGGAACCAAAAATTAAAATAAAACCGCGAAAAAATCCGGACAGATAGTTTTATTTAAAATACTTTTAAGTGTTTAAAAAGAATTGACTGCGTCATTGCATGGTTGATATTATAATTTTAGCAGTAAATGTTCTTAATATTTGCTACACAAGGACGCTATTTACGTTGTCGTAGATTATATAAGAACGTAGTTTATTGTTTATTTATATATTCCTTCCCGTCTTGTTTAGAGGTCGCGTCTTCAAATACAATACATGCGCAAATAGCTTTATTGGTTTCTTGTTTCGTCATATCTTCACTTAGCAATTTATCGACATTCTGAAATTACCATAATACTATAAGGAAAGATCTCAGATAAAGGAATAAAATAGTCAGAGTGTCATAGAACTAAGCATGAAGCCAAACGAACAATAATGTTTAAAAATACTATAAAAATGACAATTCGTATACTGAGTGATAAGTGAATGAATAAAAATAGCTAACGGATTTATTATAATGAAGCTAAAAATTAAATAATCTAATAATATGCTATCTCTTTTTCAAGGGGAAGAGAACTAGTGGTTAAAAATTATAACTTATTATAAACTTAACTTGCATATATAAAAATTCTTTATAAAAATATTTTATTTCAATTTAGATTAAAATTGAAATAAAATAAATAAATAAAATAAAAATAAATCGTAATTGGTCCTCAAAAGTTATCTGAAATTTTAAAGATATAATTTTATACTTTAACAGGACTGGACACTTAAAGTCCGCTTCGTGCAGAAACGAGACGCTGGAATTTACGAGTGTCAAGTGTCTTCACATCCACCTTCAAGCATATTCCTACGGCTCGACGTAGTTGGTAAGTCTAATCCCATTATTAACTACTAGTTTTTATCCGCAGCTTCGCTCGTGTCATAAGCGAGGCGGGGATAAAGTAGCCTATATCCCATCCCAGGATGCAATCTATGTCCTTGTAAAATTTTATCGAAATCTGTTCAGCGGTTTAAGCGTAAAAAAGGTAACGGACAGAGTTACTCTCATATTAATTATAATATTAGTATGAATTACATAATGATTATACATACTATGATTTTGACGGCACATTTAGCTCAGTTTGTAGTGACCGTACTTGCTATGCCAGCAGTCGCGGGTTCGAATCCCGCCGGGGATATTCATTTGTGTGATGAGCATGAATGTTTGTACTCATGGATCTGGTATCTATAACACAAGCCTTGTAGCATACTATGAAACTACATGGTGTCACAAGTCGGGCAGTGTTAATATCCGTTAGGTTTCTAACTTTTCTAACTGCAAAGTTTGAGTTTACCTGCAAGTGTTGAGAGATGGGAGTTCCACTGGAGTTTAGAGTCTTCCAAGCCATTTTAGCGTGAAAGACACTATTGGATTTATTACAGTGGTCCGATTTATATAATAATCGAACAAACGGACCGACATAAAAAGTTATATGAATATGAAACCTATATTTATTTTTGCATGCAAAGTTTTTGAACACGATAAATTAATAATTCAGAAATAATTAAAACTTTACAAAATGTTAAATTAAAATGACGTTCTAATTGAACTTGGACTGTTGGTATTTAGTCGATGACCGTAACTAAGATATGACTGAAACATTGATTAAAACATTAAAATAGGATAGTTTTGAATTACATACACGATATAATGATGAAATCCATTTGAAAGACAACATTTTTAGGAATTTAATTAACATTTTATAGAAAAAGTCCATCTGTATGTATATCTATACTGATATTATGAATAACTTGCTTGTTTATTTAAATCGCAAATCTATAAAACTACCAGTCAGATTTGAAAAAAAAACTTTCTTAGATTTACGCGAATATTTGACATCTATACTAATATTATAAATGTGAATGTTTGTGTGCATGGATGTTTGTTTCTTTTTCACGCCAGAACGACTGAACGGATCTGGATGAAATTAGGCGCAGAGATAGATTATAGTTTGAAATAACACATAGGTTCTTTTTACCCCGGACAAATATACGGTTCCCGAGGGATAGATTAGTTTATTTTTCACTAAAAAAGACTATCTTTTCAGATTTTTCGCGAATTTTTGGTTTTTGATTCCCGAAGATTCGAATGCTTTACAGCAATCATAGTCACGGATTGAGTTGTTGCAAAAATTTATTGATATCAGTTCAGCTAAGCGCGAAAAATATCAAACAGAGCTACTTTCACTTCCATTACACTTTCAGGATGCTTTAGAGAAATTAAATTAGCATAATTTTATAAATTTTCTCTGACAGTTGGATGAATGTTTTTTTTTAAATTGAATCTGAATTTAGAAAACAGTTGAGTTGAATTATTACATTTTTAACTATATTTTATTTTAATATATTAATATTAATAATAGAATGACCTCCTGGCCGATTTTGTTTTCGGCGGCCAATGTGAGTAAGACTAAAAGTGCACTATCTATTCCTTATACTTTTAAAATCTATTGGCACAAGGTACATTACTAGCGAGTGATCAGATAATGGGCTGATTGCTTGATATCTGAGGTACGAAAATATAACACCGCCAACTTCCCAACTCAGGGCACAAATCTTGGCCTGACACGGGACTCAAACCAAGGACCTCCGCAGGACAGTAAAATAAAGACAAAGCTAGAGTATATACACATAAAAAATTATGATATTTTATACGTAATAGCTATTTTCAAATAGAATATCGTATTAGAATTACTAGATGAATATGAATTTTCATACAAAAATAAAAATATTTTTTTTGCATCTTCTAAACTTTAAAGTTCTAGCGTCTGGCCAAGTTTAAATGAGTAAGCGTGGCTTCCTACACCCCTCCACCGGACACGCGCTTTCTTTTGCTAATGCTGGACTATTACCGTTTAGAAGGTGCAATAAAAATATTTTTATTTTTGTAAAATTTAAGATATTTTTTTTTTCTTACAGATGTTGTTGTTATGTTGTAAATAGTGTATTCCCAAAAGGTTTTCAGTAAATTAAAAATGACCCTGTATAATTATAATGAAAAACCTTTATTATATTTTACAAGATTGTATTTCATACAACTTCTCAAAGCGAACTTCTAAAAATTACTGTCCATAATATCTTTGAAATACCTTTTTCATACAGTTATAGTGTGAATTTTCTCATATTCACATAAGCATATTCATAAAATTTCAATTTTGTAAGTAAATTTTAGTGAATTATAGAAGCTTTTGATGTATTCATAATTTTATTCATACGATTTGCCCTGGCTTTGTTTAGATGTAGGGATGTATGAAAATAATAAATACTCGTCACCTTCTTCTTTTTCTTCTCCCTGCTCTTCTCAATCACTTGGGGTCGGCGCAGTACATCTTTCGTTCTGCTGTTAGCTTTTGGCAAAAGTTTTACGACCGGCCGCCTGCCTGACGTCAACCCTCCTTGGGAATGCTTTTATTTATCGCGGAAGTCTTGTAATATACACATTCGATTTTGTTTTCTTTTAAAACATTTTTTTATTCAGTAAGTATTAAAATTAATTAAGTTTATTGTGAGTATTATTAAGTACAGTTTTTCGCCACCTATAGTATTTTAACTCACCAAAGGTCCAACGCAATTTTATCTATATTAATAATATTATAATCAGTTAAAGTTTGTGAATTGTGAGTTTGTGAGTTTGTGACGTTGTAGGGGATAATCTCTGGATCTACTGAACCGATTTATATGAAATTTGGTAAGAAGATAGTTTGAGACCCTGGAAAGGACAGGATATTTAATCTCAGAAATCATCCCTTAAGAGGGTGAAAACGGGGATGAAAGTATGTATGAGGAATCAACCTAGAGACGAACCCAAGCGAAGCGAGGGTAAATCGCTAGTTGTACATATAAAACTAACTAAAACTATCTTTTCTGATTTTAATTTAAAATATCACATATTTGCGTAAATCTAAGAGTAAAACAAAATAACACTAAATAAAAAAACGAATCGCACTTTGAAATATCGTTATTTCTTTAGAATACTAAAAAATAATGCTAAATCTATATCTTTGTGTGGAAGAAAGATTTTGAAGAGAACATTATGCATGTATAAAAAATGCAATCAGAAATAGAATGGCATTGCAACTTCCATAGAGAAAATTTTAAAGTATTGTTACTCGCATACGGTTTGACATTCACAAAGCAAAAGGCCACAATACCTGAAATTCATTATTTTTGCACCCATTTTTTAGTTTTTCTCCATAATATTTATTCAACTGTTTTGAAAACAAAGAAAAAGTACAGATAGATTAAAAACTTCGTAGCCTTGTTCTAAACAAAAAGATGTAGATACGTCGTATATTGCGCTATGCATATATTTTTAGACGTTTTATATAAAATATATATTATAGAGCTTAATCTATACATATAATAAAATTCTGAGTCGAATCTGTACATTAAATATTTTTTGGAAAATCTTATTGAAATAGTCATTATTATCCACACAGAGACCAAACTATAGTTTTTAAAAAAAAAACCGTCTGTCTATCTATCTGTCTGTCTGGGAACGCATCATGAGGAAACTACTGCACAGATTTTGATGAAATTTTGGTATAATGATAGCTGGTCAAGATATAGAATAATTTTAAAGTGAGAAAATATGTCATCTCTGAGAAAATTATACTAAACATTAAAACATAACTAGAGACGAACCGGAGTGCAGTGAGGGTGAGTCGCCAGTGATTAATAAATGTAAAATAAAATAAACTTTGAAATTTTTACCCTGAGTAAAGAGTTCATTTTTTTTTGTCGTGTAATTTTTATTAGCTTTTTAGAATGTTTTCGAAAATTTTGCTTACATATGGTAAAATCAATTATACATTAACAAAAAAATACTTCTTTGCTGTTTAATAGGCAGAGTAGAAGTAAAAAAAATAAACTCCAGTTTTCTCAATAGCAGAAAATTCGAAACGGGGTCGTCTTTCATCTATCAGATTAATTATCGAATGAAAAGTGTTGCCTAATGAAATATGTTGAAGGCTATTTTCTATTTAAAAAACATTGGACAAATTGTTAGTCTGACTCGCATATCGAGCGGTTCCGTACCATGAAACATTAAAATAAGTTTCTCCGTTCCTAAGGAAAAGGGTCTCGACAGACAGACAGACGGACGGACGAACAACGAAGTGATATAAGAGTACCTTTTTTTCTTTTTGATGTGCGGAACCCCAAAAATTACGTTCTTTTAGACTTAGTGTTTGGGGTTCCAAAAATTGTTCTTTTTTAATTTTTCAACCACTTGCTAACTAAATAGATTTAATATTGATCGACATTACAACGTGTGGTGAACATACAAAACTTACGTAGCTTGTGCAAAATTAGCCACAAAATGTAATATTGCCAAGTAAGGTGCGAAACACAGTAGCGTTCCAACAACTATTTTGTATTACCTACATAATACGAAGACTAAGAACTTTAGTTAATACAAATTAAATTAAACGAACAATAAAAACAAAAGTTATTACATTATTTTTATACAATGGACCGCTTCATTTCTTGATTTGATATTTATTAGGCTTTATATATTACACTTTACATACATTGTTTTGCCCGCGGCCTCGTTCGCGTGGAAATTAGAGTGACGAGCAATACGCATCCATCCCCGAAACGCAATCTTGCTAAATTTTATTATAATCTGTCTAGCGGCTTAAACCTGAAAAGGTAACAGATAAAGTTACTTTCACATTTATAATATTAGTATGTACCTATTATGTTAAATACTTTTTAAATAAACCTATCTTTTCGGATTTTTTGCCGTCGGGAACAAAAAACCAAATAAATCCGCGAAAAAATCCGAAAAGATAGTTTTATTTAAAATGTCAAATATTCGCGTAAATCTAAGAAAGTATTATGTTAAATACTTTTCAACCACTAAGCATATGTTAGAAGGATGACCTTACTTCGGATCTTAAACTAATACCACACAGTCCCATATTAAGCAAGTGTCACGTTTTGTGACAGCAAAAAAAAAGACTATTTACACCCGTTTAACCCTATGTTTATTAGGTATTTACTTTAAAAATTATAGCCTATCTATTACTATGATACTTCTAACGATATGATATTCTAATGATTCCTTACTTCGTTCTTTTAGTTTTTATTAATAGATACCTTTTTTTTACGTTATTAAGTTATTTTTTTACGTTTTTACGTTATTAAAAACGTAACATTCCTATATTAGAACATGTTCCAGACTTCGTGTGTACAACAAAGACCATATGTTCAACAACGAGAGCCATGTCATATGATGAGCTTTTCATATCTATGGATCTGAATCATGATTCTCTTATTAGTTTATTGATTCTATATAACAACCAGAGTAAAAATACTTTAAATAAATAGTATTAAAGCAGCTAAGTGACTCGTCTCAAGAGTTTAATAGATGAATAACATTGTTTTATACTGCAAAGTGGTCATCTCAATGATTCTTGCAATGATCTAACTCGCGACCTTCAGTACTTAAAAGTACAACAAAATTCACAAGTATTTTTAAAATCTATTATATTTCCTGTCTACGTCATATTCTGTATCGTATTTAGTGTAAAAAATTTTCACCTTATAATATTTTTGCAACGAAATATTATATGGCGAGGACAAATAATTTCGGATGCATTCTATCCTTACGTTGTTTTCCCTAAATCCGCTACACTCGAGCTGGAAACTCCAACTTTTGCATTTATAATATAAGTGGGCTCAAATTTCGAACAAAGTTTTCGCACCTACATTTAAATAACCATTTTCAACCGTCGCGTCGTCCATATTTTTGCACAAAAAACTTTTTGATGGAAAACTGCACGGTTTTACATTTGTTTTTAAAGTATTGATTATTTTTGTTTTTAGTTTTTCGTATTTTTATGGTATTGTTAGATTGAAAACTAAACATGGCGTTACCGTTTATTTCTCTTATGGTTTCGAAATATACAAAGTAGTATTTTACAACTATCTCTATTTTGTGATTTAGAGATGAGTTTTATATGTTGGTGTTTCTCAGATTTTTTATTAATAATTCAGACGCTTTTAAGGAAAATTCTAATATTATTCTTGTAAAAGCTGAAAAAATGTGCAAACTTAGGCACATTTAGCAGCTTTCATATAACTAACTCTACGCTATTTACATATACCCATATTATCTACAAAGGGTTATTCTCTCAATCTTAATTATTATTTTAGCTTTTTTCTAATATTTCATTAAGCAAAGTGTCTGATTTTCAATTAGCTATACAATATTGATTTCAAATTATTAATGAATTATTATTTGTATGGCATCAAAATGCAAGAAAACACTCCAAAATTAATTGTCTAATTTTCCCTGCTGATCTTCTGTATAGCCACTAAGTGTAAATACCAAAGAGAAAAATATGTATCGCTAATAATACTTTCATAAGCAGAAGGTAGATTCATGCAGGCAAAACGTAGGCTAACTTTTAAAAAAATGTAAAATAAGATAGACGCGATAGAAAATATAGAAACAACTGATAAGCAGCGCATACAGGAGTGTCCGAATGGCAGGAAAAATTTAGGAAACCAAGAATAAAAATAAATCCGCAAAAAAAATCAAAAAGATAGTTTTATTTAATAGCTATTTTATTTTAAAAGGAAATCCCATGATTTTATTCTTTAATATCCTGAAATATATGGAGAACTAACTTACATAAATTCCACTCATATAATATAATCAATTCGTATGTACTCGTACGTTATATGACGGGTTAACCAATAAAACGTCGATATTCTTGTAATTAATGTATTTATAATATATATATATATATATATATATATATATATATATATATATATATATATATTGTACTGCTTTCTACCAAATATGAAGTAAAAACTAAACTACGTAATTCTAATCAAGTTCATAAAGAAAAGTAGGGTTGACCTACTTTTAAAATAAAAAGTAATAATATTGACAAGTCGTTGGCTCAATATTACAAGGTTCTATGTTACAATTTTTATTTTAGTACTTATGTAGTTATGAATGCTACAAGGTTCTATGTGTCATTAGGTACAGTTTTGCAAAAACAACCCACTAGATAGCAGCACTATACCTACAAAGTATTCAATTTTACATAGTACTATGTCGTTTTTTTTAAAATCACAAAATAACGAAGTTCTATATAAAACATAGAACCATTCAATTTTGGTTTTTATATTTTTTTAGGATAGCAAGGTTCTATGTTAAACAGAGGACCTTGCTTACAGTTTTATGCTTATAGTTTTATTTACAACTAGCGGCTCACCCTCGCTTCGCTCGGGTTCGCCTCTAAGAAAAGCACAAACAGGTATATCCCACGGGAACCGTTCATTTTTCTGGGAGAAAAAGTAACTTGTTGTTAGACCGGCAATATAAGGTATCAGCATGCCAAATTTTACTAAATTAGGTGCATAAGTTGTTGTGTACTAAGTTGTATAAGTTACTATAGTTTTTTAACTATCCCACGGGAACTCCTTAATTTTCCTTAATGAAAAGTATCTTAGATGTTGACCGGGGATATAAGGTACGACCATGCAAAATTTCACCTAAATCGGTCCTATAGTTTCGGAGATTAGCTCGTACAAACAGACCAACAGGCAGAGAAACAAAAAGATTGAAAAATCTGGATTTATTCTTATATCTTACATCCCGTAAGAAGAAAACTGACTCGGTTTATAGATTTTTTTTTCTTTATACAGGCAATTGGCTTCTAGTTTTATTATACATATACATATATATAGATAGAAAAAATAACGTATAATAAAACAGTGATATACGAGTTAATAATGAAAATAATTATAGCGAGTGTACCTTCGGAAATAGACATATAATATTGAGAAATTTTCTATAGACCTTTTTAAGAATTACAATTTTTTATACAATGTTTTGATCTATCTCTTAAGGTGGAGCCAGCGTTTTTAAGGACGATTCGATAGAACCAGTATTTGTTGTTGAACCGTGGGAATGAATAATTTGCCTGTCGTAAAAGGTATCCTAAATGTTGACCCGAGTACTAAGTTCTCAGTATACAAAATTTAGTTAAAATCGATTCAGTACTTTTTGCGTGAAACGCGCACATCGATTTGACTAAGTTAGTTTTATTATAGGTATAAGAATGGATATTGCTTATGAGATAAATATATACATATACATTCAGAACTTTTCTGTAGGACTTTTCAAGACCTACAATTTTTTAGTATATTTTTTTGATGTATGTTTGTCTTAAGGCTTAGCCAGCGGAAGGTTTCTAGGGAGGACTCGATAAAACCAGTTGTTGTATTTTCCCTTGGAAAAGAAAGATTTTCTTGAAGTAAAAGGTATCCTAAACGTTGACTCGAGTAATAAGTTATCACTTCACCAAGTTTCGTTGAAATCAGTACATTACTTTTCGCGTGGAACGCGCATACTAAAACAGACAAACAGACATACAGGCAAACAGAAAAACAGACAAAATTTTTAATAACTATTGTTTTGGGATCTATGTTGTGTACATAATACGTACATATACATATAAACATGAAATACATACAAATAAACATGAACATTTATCCCCCGGGAACCGTACATTTTTCCGAGATAAAAAGTAGCCTATTTGGTGTTCTGATGCATGAATTACACTGTATATTATTGTAAAGTTTAATCAAAATCCAATCAGTAGCTTTTGTGTACTAAGCTGTATAAGTTACTATAGTTTTTTGACTATCCCACGGGAACTCCTTCATTTTTCTGAATGAAAAGTAGCCGATTTGTTATTGTCATGTATGAACTATATTATAGTAAAGTTTCATTAAAATCCAATCAGTAGTTTTTGTGTACTAAGCTGTATAAGTTATTATAGCTTTTCAACTTTTCCACGGGAACTCTTTAGTTTTCCGGGATGAAAAGTATTTAAGATGTTGCCGGGAAATATAAGGTACCACCATGCAAAATTTCATTTAAATCAGTCTAATAGATTCGGAGATTAGCCCGTACAAACAGACAAACAGACAGAGAAACAAAAGAATTTAAAAAAATCTGGATTTGTTCTATTTGTCTTCTTACATCACTCTGACTCGGTTTTTAGCATTTTTGTTCTATGTACAGACATTCGACCTCTACAGTTTTATTATAGTATAGATTTGAAGTGAGCTTTAGATGTTCACACACAGCAGAATCTATGTATCGATGGATGCCTACAGTGGACAAGGAGTTCTATGAGGCAATATTCAAAGTGTAAACCATTTTTTATGATAATAAATTTCACATATGTACAAGTAATGTTTTTTAATGGTACTGAGACATGATAATATATTATAATAGTTCAGATGACTCAAGAAAATGAATACTTAACTTGGACATAAACTAATATCTTTTACTTATTTCAATGAAACAAAGTCCTAAGTTCTGGTTAAAATAAATAAAAATATTCTTTTGGCATCACAAAATTCTATGTTATTTTAATTTCGATAATATTGCTTAATATCCAAGTCAATATCCATTTGTTAGTTCCTAGAAAGCATCACGTAGCCCTTAATTATGCTAATAAACTGTCACTTAGGGATTAGGACTAATAAGTATACATTTTTCAAAAGTCAAAAACTTTAAAGTCAAATTACCAAACTTCATTAAAATTAACATAGAACCTTGTAATAGTGAGCAAAATACATTTTATAATTACAGAGTATAAATTTGGTACATAAATTAATAACCTTAACATATATAGCAAAGTGTTTGATAATTACATTTTTATTTGTTACAGAGGCTCGAGCTCAAATATCGGGTCCCACAGAGAAGTATCTAAAGCCAGGCTCAACTCTGCGCTTGCAATGCTCCGTAGTTCAAACTACAGAAGCCCCAGCTTTTGTATTTTGGTTTGTACCTTTCGAATCATTTTATATTTATTTATATCTATACTTGTATTATAAAATTGAAGAGCTTGTTTGTTTGTACGCAATTATCTCTGGTAGTGATTCAATTTAAAAAGTTCTTTTTGTATCTTGTACCTTACTTATTAAGGAAGGTTGAACCACCAAACTTAAAAAACAAGTTATTGCAAATAAATATAAAAATAAATATTTACACTACACTAGTGAACCCGTAGATAAAAACTAGTTTTCGGTATTTGTAAAAATAATATACAATTTACTAGTTCAGTCCCAACCCCATCCTTGTTTTTTTATTATTTTCTGCACAAAGTTTTTGATTATAATTTCTTATATTGAAAAACAAGTCTCTGAACGAAAATTCACATAGTATAATACATTTTTTTCACATACATTTTTCCACTTAAATTACAGAGTTTATGAAAACCCATATCACATTACATTATTGGCTTACCTTTTGTAGCTATGATGAAAACAAAGTAAATAAACAAACATATATTTTCGAATTTATAATGTTACAAGTAAGCCTTATGGGATTTCCCATGGGCAACATTAACAGAAGCTTAAACATCAATTTCCGTATTTCTAACTTTGAAAAGTACGAACTTCCATAGGTACATTTTTTCCCCCATTAAATGTTTAGGAATAAATTTTTAAAAGTAATAAAATACTCATTTTTGGAAGAAGTCCGTCATTTTTTAAGCGTTAGAAACTTGAATGAATACAAATCCCATCAGAAACAATGGTCCTAAGCCTCTAAATACTATGTATAATTGAATTTGAATTTGAACTATTTATATACAAGAAGAGAAATCATCCCGATTGGTCTATGGTGTCAAGTGTGAAAGATGTTACGAAAATATCCACTTCCTTGCTTTTCCATCTGCTTTTTTGTGTGTCTAAAGTAAATTATAAGAACTATGGTAGTCTGATCCCCCTCGCATTGATGGAGGGTCGTGCTCTGCAACGGGGTTATAAAAAGGGCCTATTTATCATTATATTTACGAGTAATTTGGCTCAGTTTGTAGTGACCCTACATGCTATGCAAGGGGTCGCGGGTTCTAGTCCCGCTCGGGGCACTCATTTGTGTAATGAGCACGAATGTTTGTACTCCAGTCACGGGTATTTATATTTATAATATGTATGTATTTAAGGTTATATATGTGTAATAGTCAACTATCCAGTATCCATAACACAAGCCTAGTATCTTACCATGGAACTAGATGGTGATGTGTTTTTATGTCAGCATATTTATTTATTTATTTTTTTAGTAAATATGTAGTATAGGCTAAATAAAGCTTGTTATAATAACTTTTAAATCTCCTCTCTCAAACATTTTCTAAAACAAATTTTTACTTGAACTTAATTTTATTAGCGTTCGCTGTTTCTTTTGTAATATAAAAACGTTTTAGAACATACCCTCTGTAAAATTATAGTCAAGTTAATAAAGCCAAAGAATATTGCTCCACGATCTCAGTTTTTTGGCCCGTATTACTTAATTTTCATTAAGATATTATACTTTTATTATTCTACGATATTGTAATATAATATTATGTATAATTTATGTTACCGAGACTTAGAAGATATGAAAATTATATTAAATCTATTTATAATGACGGCAGTGGTAGCCCAGCGCTAACACGCTCGCTTGGGAAACCGAGTGAAGACGGTTCAAATCCCGGGCACCTCTGATATTTTCATGTGTGAATATTTTTTTACATGATTACCACTTTTCTTACGTTGAAGAAAACATCCCGAGGAAACCTGCATGTCGGAGAGAACCTAACAAGTTTTCGAAAGACGTGTGAAGTCCGGCCCGCTCTTGTCCAGCGTGATAGACTAAGGCCTGATCCCCTTCATGTTGAAGGGAGGGTCATGCCCAACAGTGGGACGTTAAAAAGGCTTTGATTCGAAATTTGTAATAACAGGAAATACGGAGAATTAACTTGTTTATAATTTTTTTTAAATATTATTCTATAATAAGTGATAACTACTGCCTACGGCTTGGTCTGCGTTTAAACTATTTATTTGAATCATACACAAGCAAATAAAAAATCTTCTTTTGTGTGGCAGCGATTAGAATTAATTGAAAATTATCTTCATTTAGTATATAAACATTTCAATTAAATCTGAACAGCAGTTTTGTAAGTTGTTATTATAAGAATACACCACATATTGTACAATATAAATAATGCTTTTTCATAATGTATTCTAAATTTTTTTGGAAAATCTTATTGAAATAAACATTATTATCGATACAGAGGCCGAACCTATAGCTTTTTAGAATTTTTGTCTGTCTGACTGTCTGTCTGTGTGTCTGTTACCGCATCACAGAAAAACCACTGGAGGGATTTTGATGAAATTTGGTATGGTGATAGGTGATCCTTTTTCTATACTAATATGTAAAACCTAAAAATTTGGTTTTTGGTCATCTAAACGCGGGTGGAGCCGCAGGCAATGTTAGATATAAATAAATAAAATAATACGTATATCAGAAGTCGCGGGTTCTTCTAGTATCTATATATAGCGAACATACGCTACCAGTATGATAATATTTGTTTTATTACATTGGAAAAAGTCGTCCTTTCTGAGAATTTTCAGACGCGAATGCGAATAGTATCTAGATATTTGGGTCAGTATTATTCTGTTATCCCTAGAATAAGTGTATATAAGACTAATAAATAAGAAAAAACATATTTTTTTATTTAAAAAGATATAAAAAAGAAAAGGTCTGGACGAGCCAATTTAAATAGCTCATTTATACTCGCCATTTAACAAAAGTGTAGTTTTACCGCTTAATCCATATGTATTAAGGTTTCAGACGCTACGTGAAACGACTCGAAATAATTTCATTTACTAATAGACTTACGAATGTTAAGTTGTGGGTTTTACAATTTAAATTTATATCTCATTGTAGAAAGTGCGGTAAATTCTTTTAAACAAATTTTTAACTTATTCCGAAGTAAGTTCGTGTATGTGTGTATGTTTGTCAATCCTTCGCGCTGAATCGGCTGAATGGATTTAGATGAAATTTAGTACACAAATAGGCTATGAGCTGGAGTAACACATAGGCTATTACTAGTAACTAAATTTGCCAAAAGGTAATGCTGCCTGTCAGTGGCGAAAGGTGAAATTTTAGCAGAGGTTAAGTTCTAAAAATATGCATTTTTTATATACATACGTATTAATGCAGAAAGAATTAAAGCTATTATTTATATAATATATTTAAAAAAATGTATGTAAAATTATAGGACAATACATTTTAGGTAAGACGTCTTGTATGGACCCTTCGCCACTGGCTGCATATATAAGTATAAATACAAAATAAAGAATCGCTGAGTGAAGCAAGAGTAAGTCGCTAAAGTATACAGTACTATAATATTAGATTATTCGTACGGTTTCTCCTGTATGTTTTAGGACTTTTACAAAAAATCCTGCACACTCATAAAATATAGTAATAAAAAGTCAATTAACTTTTGGCTTATATTGTTAAAAAATAACTTACCAGCAATCACAAAATTCGCTTTAGTCAAAGCAATTTTCGCCTCATTTCCAGTTTATTGATGTTCCGCTTCATACCGACATGTGACAGTGCCAAGTCGACGTTAACGCGTGCCAAAATCCTAGTACTTGGCAGAAATTACGTACTTCATTCAAGACGCGCAAATGTAATGAAAGGAAAGAAAATCAATATATATATATATATATATATATATATATATATATATATATATATATATATATATAAATATATTTACTGAAAGGTATAATTTTAGTAAAGAGCCTAAGTTGTCTCGTAAGGTCTAACAGAATATCGACGTTAAGTAGTCTCTATACAATTGCTTTCGTTTTATGGACAAAAACGCCATAGATCCAACTATCCATCTTCCATCTCCTTTACCTTTCTCTATTCTTTATATACGACTAGCGACTCACCCTCGCTTCGCTCGGGTTCGTCCCTAGGTTGATTCCCCTTACAAACTTTCATTCCCATTTTCACCCCTTTGATATCCAGGATAAAAAGTATCCTATGTCCTTTTCAGGATCTCAAACTATCTTTTTACCAAATTTCATCTAAATCGGTTAATTAGATCCAGAGATTACCCCCTACAACGTCACAAACTCAAAAACTCACAATTCACAAACTTTACCTCTTTACTATATAAGTCTATCATAAAAAAATGTAATTAAATTAAAAAATATATTATAAAATAGGAAAAACACCTTGATTAAAATTTATCTATACAAATAAATAAAAATAATTTCCGTTTGTAATGTCGATATAAAAGCTTTTTACTAAAGGTAAACTTTTTTCACAATAACATTAATTTTCTCGTTAATCTTTCCCTCCTCATATAGTTAGCAATCTTCACTTAATTGAGTGCTGATAGATAGATAACAGCTATTGTACTCGTTGGTGAAGATACAAAAGTGAAGCAAGGATGTAGTTTAAACTCGAATATTAGAAATCTTCCGCTTGTTTCTATAGGATTAAAACATAGAACAATAAACACTCTACTTTTGTATTTTTAAACATATGAAGATGTTTCAAGAAATTTCGATGATATTAGCTAATACCAAAATACCATTGCTACAGCACCAAATCATCTATTTTTGATTCTCAATTATATTGTAAGCTTTTCTACTTTGAACGATGGCCACCTTAATAAACTTAAGTGAACAATAGCTTAAAATCCAGTTTTTTTTAAATTGACTAAAGACGACCACATCTAGGTTTCGAGCGAAACTCAAACTCAAATGAAACCCAATCCTGTTGCAGGAATTTACACATTCTCTATATTTTTTACTATGTATTGTTTAATCTTAAATAGGCGCATTATCTAAAGAGGTGTAAAAATCTTTGAGTGCTCTGATGAGATGATTATCTCCAAAGAATTTAATGCTTAGAATGCCTGTACATAAAAGCAGATTTAACGAGCACTTACTCTCCGTAAATAGGACTAAATTCTAAAATAGTTTGTCAGTTCATATTAAATGCTCAAAATATTTGAACAGCTTTCAAAACTTAGTTAAAAAGTATTATCAGGATTACCAGCGTATTCCTAATTAAGATGATAATGAAATTTTATACACCACTAGGTTTTGTTCGCAAAGATACTTTAATCCAAAATATGAATATAAGCCATAACCATTCCTAACACTCAAGCCCGTTAAGTTGTTACAAAAAGTAACAGACATACTCACAACATCTCGCATTTGTAACATGAGTATAATATACTCGTAATTATAATTCAGTCGCTTTAATGTCCCAATGTTAGGCACAGGCTTCCCTTTAATACAATGGTTATAAAGACACCCTCAATTCTGATATCAAATGAGGGATAGACTTCGAATTTAAAGTAAGATATGCTGAGATGTGCAGGTTTCCTCACGATGCTTTCCTTCATCATAGGGCGAGTGATAATCATGTTAGATATGACGTGTAAATATCAAAGACGCAACTCCTGGACTTGGAAACCATTTTACTCTATTTTCCAAGTGTTACGATTTGTCTGATAGGCAAAATTATACATTTTATTTTTATCCTTTCAACCGATTTTGGCGGCCAATTACATTAAGACTAGCCTGCCTGCGCAGGAGATATTATAATGTAACATAAGTGTACGCGCAGACACAACGAACATTCTGTTTGCCTTTTCACTCTCAAAGTCCGATGGATCGATACTTCAACACAACCGGTGAGAGTTTAAGTGTAGGACCGACGGCTTTACGTGCTCTATAAGATAACTCCAACTTCCATACACCCGGCTGTTACTGAGACCTTAACAGAAAGACTCAATAACTAAACATGGGGGTTTGAACCCAGGACTTTCGTATCTGTGACCGTTCATGCTATTCACTAGACCATCAAGGCAGTTTTATCGCATGCGTTTCGTTTGGCAATATAAAATATAACGTAATTACCTTGAAGTTCTAAAAGAATATGTTGACTGGCATTATGTAATAAACGTGGCAAGTACGTGCACGAAATATATGCTTAGCTACTCATTCATAGATACGTTTCAATTTAAATCTATTGAGGTTGTTTAAGTATATTTTGGAGTATGAGAAATAAAATTTTAAAGGAATATTAAATGAAGATAAAATCTGATTAGCTACTACCATTTAATTTATTCAGTTTCTGTACATAAGTTGATATTGTTTTATACTTAGACAAAAATTATACATATTTTTTTAATTAGTCTAAGAGTATAAATGTGCTTAATAATATAGAATTCAGATTGATAAACAAATATGTTCGATATTGTTTGGGTAACTGAGAAGCAATATCATCCTGGTCTTTGGTCTGTTTTCCTGGATGATATTTAATATAGAGATAGACTGTAGTCTGGAATAGCACATTGGTTACTTTTTATCCTGGAAAAATGTACAGTTCCCGTGGGCTTAGTTTTATTTTTATTTTTCACTAGGGAAGAACCCGATCGAAGCAGGGGTGAGTCGCTAGTATATTATAGGTACAGATATAGCCTCTTCAGGACTACAATGCTTAGAAAATAATATAGTCTGAGAGCCGGCTGATATAAAGACCTATAGTCGTATATGGATAATTTTTGGTATTCAAGTAGTATTACTATAAGATCTAAGCGTAAACACCTTTAAACTTCTTTTTTCCAAGATAAGATGTATTATATGATGACTTAACAAAAATTAAAAAGAAAATATCTGCAGTTCAACATATCTATGTGGCAGATGAAAGTAGCTGGTTGACGCAAAACACTTTTATTTTAACCATCCAAAACATAATTCTGGTATAAATACTACTCAGTATGAAAATAATATAAAACTTAATATAACTAAAGTTTTTCTTCCTTCCAACCCTACGCGTTCTCTTATAAAGCCAAGCTCAGACGCAGGTCAGCTCAAGCCATAAGGATATCTAGTTATAAATTTAAAAGATACTAACATAATGTATATATTGCAGTAGTATTACACTGTATATTTATCAGGTATATGAGTGTTCTCATTAAACACAAGTACTTCTGATATCATATCGACATCTGATGAGTCTTAAAAATCGTCAACTCCAGCAATAACTGGGTCATCTTTCTACGGTATTATAATTAATAAAAATATTTTTATAGGTCAAGTTTTGTAGTAGAAAAACTTTTTTTATACAAATTTATAGTCTACTTGAAATCTCCAATGTTTTTGGGTCAACTAGCTTATCTCGTACACTGATTAAGCTAACTTTTTGCTTATGTCCCTAAGTCATCAATTAACCATCATGAATTATTCAAGTCTCGTCATCTCCTAAGATAATTTATAACTTAATATAAAAGCTGTATAGTGTTCACTATTTACTATACCTCTTAGGATCAGACGAATTGTTATCTAAGATAGTAGTATCATGTATACATATGTGTACTGGCTAGTGTAAACGTAAATAAATATTTCCATTGCCAAAACAAACATTCCCCACGTGAGAGTTCAAGCATTCGACCTTTGAAGCTAAACCGAGTGTTAGCCAGACCAATCAAAATCTTAAGTGATATACTATTATATTATACAATACTAACTTAATATGACACAAATGATATTCAAAAAGTTATTGTATCATGAAATGAATCATTGACTAACACACTCTCGCTTACAAATATTGGTTTACACGAAAGTATACTCATATTATACTCGTTATAATATTATATAATATACGTACATTATAATATTATATAATATACGTTCTAATATTATATATAACGACAGTGGTAGTCCAGTGGTAACGTGCTCACTTGGGGAACCGAATGAAGCGGGTTCAAATCTCGGGACTCGCACCTTTGATATTTTCATTTGTGAATTATTTCTAATAAGACTACCACTTGCCTTAGGGTGTCTTAGAGAACCTAGCAAGTTTTCGAAAAACATGTGAATGGTATAAATTTTTGATAATTTATTTCATTTGATAAAACTATAAAAGTAACTGGTATAGTTTTACAGAAGCAGATAATGCACAGCCTGAACTGCTGAATCTAGTGCACGTTTTTTTCCATAAATTGTTTTTAAATTAGCATGGACACTCAGTAAGATTTTTGAAAGTAGATTAAATGGTTTAAAAATAAGGGATGACAGTTTTTATGGAAATGTGTCATTTTCGAAGTAAGAAATATGAAAATTGATTTTTAAGCTTCAATTTATATTGCCGATGAAATATTCTGATGAGATATTCTCATAAAAAACTGAGTGTTTCAAATGTGTCATTTTTCATCATTATACATTTAAAACGGAAGCCAGAACATTAAATCCAATTTCTCTTGAGAATATATATATTTTTTAATTACCATTCTTATTTTTAGGTATCACAACAGTAGAATGATAAACTACGATCTGGAAAGAGGAATCAACGTCACGACGGATCCTGAACAAAGACTTTCGGACCTCCTGATACCAGCAGCAAGTGTCTCGCACGCGGGAAACTACACCTGCGTACCAAATAACGCGGTACCAGCTAGCATATACGTTCATATATTTAATGGTAAGTATATATGATGTTCTCCTGACCGATTCCGGCCACGGCGGCCAATCTCATTGAGATTAGCCAACTGCACAGGAGATATTATAGTGCACAAGTGTACGCGCAGACACAAGTGCACTCTCTATTCCTGTCACTCTCATATTCCGGTGGGACGACCACTCGACACGACCAGTGAGAGTTAAGGCGCAGGACCGACGGCTTTACGTGCTCTCCGAGGCACGGGGGTGAAACACCGCCAACTTCCCAACTCCGGGCTGTTACTGAGACTTAATATATAGAAAGACTCAATAACTAAACTTGGCCCGACCTGGGACTCGAACCCAAGACCTCCGGTGTGCAGCCGTACATTCTAGCCACTACACCACCAAGGCAGTTAAAAGTATATATACTCGTACATATAAATTATAAACACATAAAAACTATCCTCCCCAGGAGAAACGTATGGGAAATAATTACATTCACAAATAGGCGGCGTACCTGTATTTTTACATAGACCTGGTACTCTAAATATACCCTCCATCCTTCTACTTTCAACGCCTTTGCAATATACTAATTTGCAATAACTATTTGCAATAGCTAAAGAGAAACAAACATACTGTTTCCATTTTACATATAGATTTGATAGCAAAGTATTATTTGGTCCACACGCAATTATTTAAGCAAGATATGGTACATTCAAAGCTAATAGTCTGGATCGAGGCCAAGTCCCCCATGTTCTAACAAACGAGGCTATACGTAACGCTGCATACCTACTAAATTATACAAGTGCATTGCGTCAGTACGAAAATAAAATATTGTGATATAGTCTAAAGGAGTTATTCTGTTACGCTATTTTAGTTCCACTACTTTGCTTATTCATATATGAACTCTGGTTGATTTGTTTAACAACATAAAATTGGTACTAAATGGACTGTTAAGAATTTAACAAAATATAAAATTAAATAATTTGGTATTATAAATTATTATGATATTATAATAGTTTTAACCAAAGAAGGTCATTTAATAATTTTCTTATTAATAGCAATTTAATAAAGGTAATTAAGAAAATCAAACACCATAAATATGCCTCAACTTAATTTTTCAAAAAAATAATAATTGTAAAACTTTATAAAATTGCTAGAATATTTTTGAGATTCAGAGGTAAATAAAAATTAAGCAAATGGGCAATGATATCATTATAAATGAAAAAGAGCAAAGAAGAAAACGAACAACGGAAATTTCATTTGTATTCAAAATATTTTTTGTGCCGATATTTTTGCAATACATGGATTCAATAACGACATTGTTGTTCTTTGCTGAGTTTTATAACTCCGGTGGGGAAAATGTAATCTTAATTTCTCTCATGGCTTTACTTATGTAATTCGTTTCGGATGAATATTTTTTATATATTATGATAAAATTGAATTTTTAATAGTGTACTCAGACTGATGATTAATGCGCAAGTATGTTTATTAATTTAACCATTGCTCCTGCAGTACTGGATATGATTTTGATTTTTGGGTCCCGATAGGTTCAATGCTTTATAGCAATCATGGTCATATGACAGACTAAGGTTTTAAGAAATTTCAGGAGTCATAAATCTAAATAAAATCGTAGGGTATTGCTTGAGATAGCAAAAGTATGTCCCTTGATTTAGTATGCACTAATAAGTCTGATTCATTTAAATCATTAAAGGAACACTTATATAAATCAAGGGAAATGGTGTTTTCTTTAATACCTAATTTATTGTGGGTAAGACAGATAACCTCGTGACCAGCTTCCGACTTGCACTGCGTTTTGGGTCGCGATTCTTAACACCAAAGTTTATTTAAATCAAACCGAGTGATACGAGTTTATTAACAATTACGAACAATCTCGCTCGATAATTAAACCCGAATTATTTTTTAATTTTTATTTTTATGTAGGTAATTTCGAAAATTGTTGTCATGTTTTTATGATATACTTTTGTAAAAGTTTTGGAGAAAGAACTATGAGTGAGTGGGAAATACATCAAATATTTTTTTCTAAAAAACTTTAAAATTTAACTCGATTACATTTAATTACTTTTATTAATAGCCGGAAGTCAAAAAAAAGCTTTTCTCTTAAAAAGTTAGGAAATATTCATTTCTCTCTATGATTTTTCGTAAAAAAATTTATTTTCTTTCGAAGTCCGTCATTGTTATAAATAGCAATAGTTAGGGAAAATTATACTCGACCGACCTTTTGATATTAACGCTAAAAAATTAGACGTAACGTGTATGGACGGTTTAATGATTAAATCACGTGTATAAATTATGGAACAGAAAAAAATAATGTGGTATAATATTAATATAGTAGAAATTAAATATCCTCTAGAGTATCTAAGTAGCATTGCCTACTTTGTAAGTGGGCGGAGGTTTGATTTGCGTAAAGGCTAAATTTGCTATATAGAGATATTATGCATCGTCTATCATAGAATGGCCAGAAAAATGCGTGTTCAAGATTCACTATCCCGTACAAGAGTTACGTGAAGAAATACTTTGAATATTAATATTTTATTAATTCTGACGGAATTTCAATCACTTGTTTTTAAATAACCTACAAATTGTAATTGGAAAATACAGGTACTCTCTGTTTTAACTTTTATATAAGATCTATTATGACCCACTTTTTACTGAAGAATGGTATTAGCTGACTTGCAGTTCTTAAAGTTTTATATATATCCTGTCTTAATATATTTGATTGTTTTGTTGATATAAATATTTTTATAGGGCTTAAATCCATGACATATCATAATATAATATAAGCACTAAGCATCTAGGAACCACTGTTTTCTTTAATATTTTAGATTTTTACGTCATAGCTTAATCGAACCCACAACTTACAACCTTGTGTGTAGTGTTAGTCCTACCTATGATGGTATTATATAAAAGTATTATGTCAAAACAGAAAAATTGTATAAGCATTAAGCATATAGAAGCCTTTGTTTTCTTTGATATTTCAGATTTTTACGTCATATGATAATCAAACCCACAACTTACCACCTGGTCAGTCAACTTAGCACTTTTTATGACAATATTATATAAAAGTAAAAGTCAAAACAAAAAAAAATTATAACCAGCCAAAGTCGAAGTTACATCGGAGTCTATTCATTATTATTGATGTCATTTCTCTCGCACCCCTTGTTTTAAGGTTCATCCCCAACACGGATATGAAAGTAATTGGATCGGATATACCCTATTGAGGAAAATCAAATCCTTTTCCTGGACCTTCATCATGTTTAATATAATCGTACATGTTTGTTAAGAACTGTAGTCTAACCGTAAAATAATGTTTGAAAATAATTTCAATAGATCTGGAGATCATTCGCTCAGGTCTTTAGACTGTATTGTATCTTAGCTTTTTTTTTTACGTCTTACGTCCCACTACTGGGCACGGGCCTCCCTTTAATGCGAGGGGATCAGGCCATAGTATATCCTCAAATATTTGCTATTAAATTGTATATCTGCATGAAATCAGTTAATATTGTATTGATATATCAGGATTGTTATATCTGCATAATATCTTCATGCAAATCTGTATTATTATCATTTCTCATGAATTATACTCTATTTTATCATACTAATTTGTAACAGTGAAAGTTTGTGAGGTTAGACGTATGGGTGGATGTTTGTTACTCTTTCACGCCAAAACTACTGAACGGATATTAATGAAACTTTACAATAATGTTGCATATATATTAGACTGATATATGCAATGTAGTTTTTAAAGTCAGTAGTGTCCGGCAATACAGCCGGGCGCGAAGCCCAGAAACACACAGAGGGTAGCCCACTTCGGTGGGCGGTGTACCATGTGGTTTGCTCCTGGTACTTCTCTGATAGCAGAGTGGACTGTGGAGAACCACATGGTTTTTGTGGTCTGCTTCGGCAGACCTGCCTTTGGGGCGTCGTAGTTGAATGCGTAAGCGATCTTGCGACGCCCCATTTAGACGGGTGAGCTTTTGTTAGGTTTTAGTGGGTATTACTGGCTTTTGTAGCCGGTGAGTCCCACATACCCGCCTGTTTGTCTGCAGGTGGTATGCGTAAATTCATTTTAAAAAAAGGATCTTCTGAACCGATTTAGATGAAGTTTGGTAAGAAGATAGTTTGAGACCCTGGAAAGGACATTTTACATACATACATTACATGTACTTTTTATCCCGGAAATCATCCCGGAATCAACTCATGGACGAACACGAGCGAAGGGAGGGAGGGAGGGGGGGGGTGATCGTTAGTCTCATATAAATTTTAAGAGCATTCACTCCTATGATTTGAATAAATGCTTTAAAAGTTTTTTTATCGATGTTTATCTTTTTAGTTAAATAACTATTGACTTTATTATAATTAAAGCACGTCGCCGTTATTGACACAATTCTAGCTACAGGTAGTGCGAGACCAGCATTTTATAACATATGCCGGAATATTTTATGCGAGAACATACTCGTACTTCTTGAAAAGCTTAGATGTTCTTAGTTAGGAAGTTCCAAGTGTACACTATGAAGCAGGTTCTTATAACTTTTCAAAATTACAACATATCCCAAGCTTACCTTAAAGTACAAAAGCTCACAATAAAATTACAAGGTCTGTACAGAGATATAAAAACTTGTTACTTTGCTTACGAATTTATTCAATCTAGACTTTTATTTTATTAGATGGAAAATGAATTAGCTATTTGATGAAGAAATACACTACGTAAATTTAGAAGCTTTGGCTTAAACCATTTGTCTTTATAAAGTGTCTAGACTGAAGGAAAACACTCTTAGCACAATTTTAAAAAGGATACAATTTTATAACAAGATATTCTATGTAACTTTTGAGGTAAACACCTTTTTTCTTATATAACTTAAGACCAGAGTGAATATTTTTAATAGGAACTAGTTTTAGTGCACAACTTTGCTCGCATGTTACAATAACGTAAATTAAATTGTCTTTCTTTCATTTGTGTTCTTTATAAGTCACTGAACATTTTGTTAAAATCGATAAAACCCTACATCTCCTATACTGAATCCCATGGG